CGCATTGTCACTAATTCTTTTTTTTTTTTGAAAGCTTGTAAAAATATATAAAAACTTATTAATTCGATTCGGCTTGAAATTCCATTATAAATTAAAATCTCATTTATGGCTGATATATCTTATAAGACAATAATTTATTTTCAAAATTAGTAAGAAACCAAAAAAGCATTTAATAATGAATATATTCAAACACTATAACTCATGATTTTATGGCTTTTCAAAATTTTTTTAAAGCATAGTTGCTAAAAGTCCGTATTTTGAATTGAGATAAAATTATTTGGTAAAAAAAGTTAATTGAATCGATTGTGAATTTAATTTGCTTTATGTGTAATACTATTAAATCTATTACATGTTCGCGGTAAATGGTAATTATTTAAGGAAAAATTGTTTTAAATATTATTTTTTACAGCGCAACAAAAAGCTACAATGTTCTAATAATAATGTCGTAGATTCCTAAAAAAAACACTCTAAACAATATAGAATTGTAAACTGTTAATCTATTTTATTCTACCTGTTTTTTCAATAATATTAGAACAATAATAAAGTATAAAAAATCTATAGTAACGTAGTTTAACTTCAAAAGGACTTGAAATTGAAATTAAATGATATTTACAGTAATCCGATGTAATATCATTGTTGTCATAGATTGAGTTGACAATACTCGTGTCACGTTTTTTTGTTGCCAACCTTGTTTTATGTCATATATTAGAACCTTTGGAAATTTCCTCCGAGTGGTTCCAATCACATTAATAGACAACGACAGAATAATACTCGATCGGCCGTCCAATAAAATATCACTACCTCTGTTTTTACTCGGTTCACTCGTCTGTAGCTAGTTGTGGATTTTAATAATGTCACACAACTTGGACGGATATGGTATAGAATTAAAAACTAAACTTGTGTCTGCCCGTTTCTTTGTTTAAATATGTATGTAGAAAACAAGAGAATCTCGCGTGATTAATGCGTATAAAGCAAGTTTCCACCATGCCGTTATAATAGCATCGGTGTCAGCCTTTGCCCACCTGACGTAATTACACTCGAATTTGGGGGACGGGGGTACACGTAAATCCCTCGGCAGAGAAAAAAAACGTTAGCCGCGCTCGCGTTGGGCCGATCGCGGGGTGAAAGGGTCCGAAATCTGCAGGGTTTATCGGCCATGGCGGACTAATTAAAAAAGTAACGACACGAATACAATAATAAATCATGGGTCAACACGTCGACAGGGCCGAAATGCGCTTTGGCGGCACACGGCGTTTAATTTCGAATCGGAACAACAAATTCTGCACACTTTCCGAGCACTCGATAGGTGTCGCGTGCTTCACGTGATCGCCCGTGTCACCGCCTCCGCTGGACTCAGAATTTTAAGTGCAAAGGTTCACAAACACACTCATATACACATACGCCTCACAAAACGTAACGACACTTTATATGTGCGGGTCGGAGAATATAACTCTTGGCTTACGGTAAATTTAATTTGGAATGTTTTCAAAAAAGACCACTCAAAAGCGTCTAGTGTCGAGATTGCAGAGTTTGATTATGGGACCTGCAATGGCGTTTTTTTTTTTTCCACTCGTACGATAATGATAACATAAAAGAAGGTCTGAAAACGTTGTCAACCTACTATTTCGTGACTTTCACAACGTATAGGGGCCCTTTGTTTACGCAGCGGTCGGTCTGCGGCACGATAAATAGGTACAGCTTTTGATTATCGTAACGCTCATCGAAAAACACAATTACGGTGAAATTTAGCAACAGAATTAGTATTTTGTACGTTGCAAGTGTGCGTTACTTTTGCATGGACCAATGGCAAAGTAAAAAGACCAAGGGTTGAATACTATATGTGTGTATCTGTTTTTTTTTTTCATTTCGGCCAACGTTAGTAAAATATTCCGCTGAATGCTAGTTATCGTTGACAACTTTTTTAAAATTTAATCCCTTTTGCTACACTCCGACTGTGGTAAACAATGAAAGGTTATATAACACGATCATTTTTTTTAAATACTGTACATCTGAAAATAATGATACGTTGTCACATACACATATTAAACTCGGTTGTTTCTCTCGAATGGAAATAAAAAAGTTATACATGTGAATTATTCGATATTTGCTATACGAATAAAACACCCGATCGTTTAGAAAACCAATACAAAATCAACCTAACGCAACTAATCAATCTTTTCCGTGGTAAGTAGCCCTATTTAATATAAATTGTCCATTCGGACTTTTTGAAAATATGTTGAACTATTAACTTGTTTTGTTAGAGGTCTGAGTATCAAATTGAAGAAAGGCTTCACTTAGTTTTAGTAGATTTCTCACATAACTATCACCAATTATATGTGACATCTTCACTTCTAAAACTAGTTACTGAGTTGTAAAATGATCCACAATTAATATTTGGCGAAAATCAGTAGTGAATTAATTAATAAAGAAATGTATAGATTAGAAAATCTAGAAAATATTAAACTAAAACAAATAACACATTTAATTAAATTTTTTATAATACATGAAAAATATTCCATAGTAATTTTAAATATTACAAAAAACTATTTTGAATAATTTTACATGATTTTTCGTTAATATGTTTTGTATAACGTTTTGGTGGTTATTCGTTTATAAAATGAATAAATATTTTTAGAATTATTTTATTATAACTACAAATGCTATAATAGAAATCTTATAATACAAAGATCCCACACTTGGGAAACATCTTGGCAAAATTTACAATTTTTTTCAATAATATAATAATTTATATATATATATGGTTGGATGTATATTATACATTTTTTGATTGAACCGGTTTTTTTAAACATCGATAGTATAGATGGCATCCACTGGATACTATACATTCCAATAATTGAATTTAAAGTATATAAATAAACCACACCATAATAAATGTCTCGTAACTAAACGTATGAATAATTTAGCTAATAGATTGATGGGTCATAAAAGCCTACGTTAAATATATTCATTTATATGGTATACAAGTTATACGTAGCTTAATAAAACTTTTAGATATGCGCAGTTTACTGGGTGGTCTTCAAACTACCTGTATATTTTAAACGATACCTGGAAATTCAGTTTTTACTTTTATATCGACAAAAAATAATAGTATGAAAAAAACTTTTAACACAATTACAATAATTCGGGAAAGCCACACGGAAGACAGCGGTACCTTTTGCCATCCCTAAATCTGATACTTTTCTTAACAATTTATGAACGGCAATCACTATAGTTAAGCTGAGATCTAAAACTGTTTCAATTACTATTTATTACACCGTTGAATCGAATACTTTATCGTTACACTAATAAACGCAAATATTTGTAACGTACTTAAAATTGTCTGAACCAAACCAACATTGATCCCGTAAATTTATTTTATACCTCAAATAAGCAAAAGCTTTCAATTAAAATAAATTCCAAATAGATAGCAAGTTGTAATTTGATAATGTGAATAACATCCCAAGTATAATAAATTGAAACGTAAAATTTGAATAAAAAAAAATTCACTTTTCTATAATACAATATATGTGATAGTCACAGGCTAGACGAATACAACGTGAATTTTAAAGTATGCTGTATTTATTTTAGATTTAGATTTTACATTAATATTAATAGTTTTAGAATTTATATTTTACATTAATAAATTTTTTAAATAATTTTTATATTTAAGGCTATATAAATAACGTAACATACCATATAATTTTAATTTATTAAAAACAAAATTTTAATTTACGAAAAATGTAAAAAAAATTTCCGTATAACCATTTTGTAGAGTATATTTTAACAAAAAATTTGGTAAAAGGATGTCATATTAATCTTGTCTAATAGAAAGGTTTACTTTAATGACGAATAATATAATTTAAATGACCACGTGCATATACAATTCTAATGTAAATTTGTACACAGCAAGTAAACTTCTCGCAACAATACACAAGTGAAATCGTGTTCATTAATATTGTTACTGTGAAACGTCATGCTTCTATTTTCCAACAATAATTTATGGTCATTGTCCAGACAAATGAATATTATTTCGACGACTTTATTAACCTATTCATTTTTCGTGGAATTCTACGTTTGCAATCAAACCATACTTATTATTTTCATCGTGTTTCTTAAAATAAATATGATTTGTAGCTCTAAACTCATTAAAATTAAAATGTTTGCGTAGTGATGTAACTCCAACGAGTCAGATAAAAGATTAAGTTCGATAAAAAAAACAACAGTACACACTAATTATCCAGCTTAGTCTTCGCATTAAAAAAAATTAAATACAGTCGATTTGTCTTCGGACGTATTTTCAGCACAACGATAAGATATGAAATTACTAAAATTTCAGTCGGACAAAAGCAATAAAAACTTTTTAACTACAAAACTATTGTAATGTACTACAGCATAGTCGAGAACTTTAACGTGTTTTTATTTATATTTAAACAACAATAAGAGAACACAAAATGTTTAATTCGAAAGATAGCATAACAGCGAATATAAAACGATTAAAAGATATCACATTATTGTTATAACCTATAAGAACATTATGCACAAGAAATTGTTGAGATCTTTCATATTTTATTTTAACACCCAGAAGCGGATCAAAATGGACGCATTATTTTGATCTGCTGGAACGGAGTCGTTGAATAATTTTCACGTTAACAACTCCTTATCTCAATAAACCTACGGGTTTAATAGTAATCATAAATGTTTTCATTTACACGGGGGGGGGGGGG